ATGATGCGGTCCGCGGCAGCCGCACTGATAAGGGCGGGTAAGCGCTGTCATTGAGCTGCAAGCCTGAAGGCAACAAATGACCGACGAGGCAGTGAGCTGCTCTTGTACTTCAACATGACTAAAGATTCATGATTAGAATTGCTGAAAATACTTATAGCATATCTTTAAAAAAAAAAATAATGTTACTAATTTCATTTAAACAGTAAATAGTGTGTTCTATAGTGTCGTAATGTGTATATTGTGTACTGCAGTGTTTATGTTTTGTGATGTGTTTTATCTTAATTACCGGTAAAAACAATATTTGTGTGAAATGTAACAACTTTTTGAATTGATCGATTGTATTTGTGATTTTAATTACTACACTAAAATTACCCACCAAACAATCTATATTTGGGACTTCTTTTTGGGATTAAAAATGGCACATACCATTGGCTAGTCAACATTCGAATATGCATGCAACACTCCAGTGATCAAAAAAGTGACTTATTATTAATATAACCAAAACTTTCCAAAATCGGAAAATTAAAAATTTTTCTATTGGTTTTATATCACTCATAAGCAAACATAGTAACCTTAGAGCAATGGCCCCGTCTATATGCTAGAGTCACTCGCCAGTAACAGCCAAGTACTAGTACTCCTCAGCTTATCTCAATCTTATATGTGTTTGATCTAAGTACCAATCCTCCTTAAATGTTTATTATTTACAATAAAGTTTAAAAATGGAAGCACTAAGTTTACAGCAAAGAACCAATAATGTGAACTTTTATTCCAATGAATCTGGAATAAGAAAATTTATTCTCTAAAATATGAGAAAACACCATAATAGTTTTATATTTGAGTCTAGTAATACTATATTATGAAATTAAAATTTCATTGATGTTATTGTGAAGTATGTCTATTCCGTCATCATTACAAAAGGGAAACCTCTATTATGAGAGATTCCGTGGCAAAAACCCAATAGCTCTTGGATTATTTGCTTTTAAAATTGTTTATCAACATTATTTATTTAAGACCATGAGATGGTGTTAAGCCATCTCAAGGAATTTCCTTCACCTCATAACAATTATTAGTGGCAACTCAGCATAAAATTTGTGAAAATCTCTTGTTGTTATTGTTGTACTCTGCAGAGGTCTGCTTGTGTAGTGTAGTAACATTTGGGAGTGCTGAATGGCACTTGGTCATAGAGTTTGGCGAGTGGCTCCAACGAGGTTCTTGGAACCTCAATTCTTCTGTCAGTTCCCTGTTATGTGTTGCAATATATAAGTGTATTCATATCTTTAATGACTATGTGTGAGTAGTAAACAATAAACATATCTCCAAACATGACTAACTCAAGGTTTTCCAAAACAATGTAACGCTATTCTAACATATAAACTACAAGACGCCAACTCAAAAGCTGCACTCAAGAATATTAAAAATTATCAGAAATCAAGCCCAAATAAGCATTCCATCTACTTCAGTATAAAAACCAGTTCATCAATATTAATTCAGTTCATCAATATTAATTTTCCAAATTAAACAAGAAGTAAAGCAAGTAATAGAAGAAGATTGAAGCCAGGATTTCCTCTAACGTAATATAAATGTTAAATTCCTTTAAAATTTTTCTTTAAAGTTCTAAAAACCTCTATTTCAGTTATATACACTTAAAATATTTTACATAGATACTAATATATTTTTATTGCAGATAAAAATAATACAAAAAAAAAGTCAACTGGTAAGGAAGTCAATAACAATTTGGTCAATTCAAAAATAAATTTATCATATACGGAACAACCTTTGCTGCTTCATACCTACACCTCAAACAATAATCAACCAAAGAATAAAAATGAATTCATAACACCTGGAAACTTCGCACAAAATATTACGCCTGAACAAACGTTCTATAAAAGCTCTATTGAAGGTTCAACAAGTTTGCCACAACAACAATACACTTCATCATATACATATAAACAAAACGAAGGAGTAGTAAATATATTGCCACAGGTGTTGCATAGATCAGTTGAAAATATACATAATAATAACAGCATAAAGCATCCACAATCCGTCATGAACTCCAGTCAAACAACTCAGGGAGCGCCAGGAAATCGGATAACATTTACAAGTCAAGCATTACCGAATGGTACTATAAATATAGGTGGTGGACATCCTGGTACAGGTTCAACAATCATATCCACTTCTCAACTGCCCAACACAACAACGATTAAGACAATAACATCTAGTGCGGCTGGAGCGCATCATCATGGTTTGCCACAACAAGTACAGGTACAACATCATCAGGTACTACAAACACCTCAACATCAGGGTCAAACGGGCCATACAACAGCCCAACAGCAACAGCATAATAATGCCCAATCAGTAGGTGCCACTCAGACACAAACTTTAGTTATAAAATCCAATCATGCAGTATCATTGCCAGCCGGTTTAGTCTCAAGTGCACCAGGAATAGTAACTATGACCAAAACCTTAAATCAGGTATTATTATGTAGGACGTCGTCGTCTTGTTTGCGCCTATATCTTATAAAACCTTTGTGGTTAAGAAAAGGCAGTAACTAGCATAAACTTCTTAATTTTCTTTTCAAAATCCGAAATTACAATTTTGTTTAGTTAAACTTTGTTAGTACAAAAAAAAAAAAAATTCGTAAACTTTTCCGTTGCGTCTTCTCTTATAGAAAATAAACTCATCTATGTAGTTTCATTTGTTTAAAAATTTGCTTCTAAATGTAATTTTTATTTTTTTATCTTTTAAAAAACAAAGAATTTCGGTCAATATTCAAACTAAATTATTACGCTTTAATATAATTTTCGCTGTTTTAGAAAAAGCATGTGTAGAGCCATTAGAAATTTCTAAGAAAATTTGTAAGCTTTAGTTTTTATAATTCTTAGATTTCTTCGTACACTGTTTTAAATCCCTTAAAATCTCCTCCTATTTGGTACCATAATCCATTCAATGCATTAAACACACAAACATGATGACCTAGCAATTCTATTTATATAGCAATTAGCATATAAGGTAGTTTTGTTGTTCTTTATTCTTAATCGACAGCAGTACATCTATGAAGTGTGAAAATTATAATACGGTTATCTCTTCATTTATCTAATGAAGTTTATTTTAAGGCAATACCTGCCATTTTGTTCGATAACCTTTGCATTTTTTCGATAATTTTCAAAACAACTTTCATGTTTTAAGCAAAAATTAAACCATATTTATTCTACGTTTTATTTCACATATTATAAATATACAACATTAAATTATATTCATGTTTTCCAGTGCACCGAAAAAAAATCGAAGTGACGAATGTGCTGGATTTACCGAAATCTCGTATAGATAACATATTGTTTTATGCCTTTTTGGAAAGACTTAACAGATTAAACACAGTTAGACATTTTTTCTTAGACCTTAGAACTATTTTAGAACGGTTGTTTAATTATAATCTACCAACAAATAACCAATTGATAGCTAGTTTCAGAATCATTCACACAATTTGCCATTGTATATTATTTCTTTCGTCCCTACTATATATAGAAATTCCTATTATGTAGGAATTGAACAGCAATGATTAAGATTTTTGTAAAATTATAACGTTTGTTTTCAACAGTGCAGGGCAAGTAGGTGTTATACGGAATTAGAGTACACTCCTATGGTTGATTTTGATCTTAAATTTTGATATTTTAGTATACTTACTTATATGACCATAATCTAATTTCGATCTGACCCCGTCTCGTACATTAAATTCGATTAGAGTTCCCTTAACTTGATTACCTACCAAGAACGCGACTTATACTCCTACATCTTTTTCCTCCAATTTCTGCTTTAAACTGCTTTTTTGCAGTATCTTCCCTGATAGCATAATCTAAATCCTTTTCCTCTAAGTGTTCCTTCAAATACCTTTTTCATTGTGCATTCTCATCCATTCTGACAACATGACATCGATGATCGTTGAATATTTATTCGTTAAACGATGTTAATTTCGTAAATGTATCTCAAACACTCTCAGTGCCGTTTTAGGTTAAACCTTTGTACTAAAAAGAAGCAGATGCTTCAGGTATGATAAGGCACCTATACAGCGTATGTTTTGTCGAGAGAGCTTTACATTCGAACTCCCTACTAAGCCTATAGTAGTAGTTATTAACAATAGTAATTTTTTGCCTAATTTCGAGGCTGAGATCGTTGTTATGAATTACCGATTCCTTTTTTCTATACTTTGTTAATTATTGTCTAGTATCAATACTTTTGTGATAATATCGATTCGAAATAAAAGCACGTTTCACTCTTGCTGCTTGAATAAACTACTGTCTATCCTTGTACAAAATTTCTGTTTATAATATTGCTCTTGGATATAACGTAGCACCTTTTACTCTTTTTTAAGTACTTTAATTCCATCGGTAAAAATGAGAAGACTATGATGACGTAGGCCTTTTTTATTTATTATTTTGACCCGATAATAAAAGTGCATATATGGATTCCCCCATACATAGCACCTTTCTCTATATTAATTCCATATTTTTCATAACCATATTCTCTGCTCAAATGATTTTTATGTCTTCACTTTTTAGTCTTTTGTTTTTTTTATAATAGTCGATAGAACAAATTTACACTGATATAGCAAAAATGGTCTTAAGTCATAAGGTCTCTTGTGTACTATACATATATAAGAAGTCACTTATAACAATCTATCATTACATCTACCTAACTACACTACTATTATGTTCTTTATTAATATTCATTTTTACTGTTTATTTCCTTATACTCATATGTATCTATACTATTAAGTTTAACAATGAGATTTAATCTTCAAACCAAATCTTAATATAATTTAGAGATTTATGTGTGCATGAATGTATTTCGTTTAAAAAATTATTTATGTACTAAGCTTTAGAAGGATTAATTTATATAATACAAAATAAATTATTTTGTTGTCATTTCTTTAATAAAATAAAATTTATTGATAATTATGAAGTAATGAACAGATGCATTAGTAAAAACAATTATAACTTAATTATCAAATTAATTAAGACATGAGTTTACTATAGTGAGATTTTAAATAATTAACTGTTTCATGTCCAGATTGAAATGGGAGAATTTCAAAAATATTTAAAATAGTACACAATATTAATTAATTAAATACAATTACTATTGTTTTAAAAATAATACACATCCTGTTTTATCCTTTATGAAATTAAAACAGCTAAAATTAAAAAAGTTTTTTATTTTTGCATTAAATGGAAGTGTTTGCCATTGACAACATTCGACATGAAAGGGTTAAATATTAAATTATCTTATAAAAAAAAACAAATAATATTCATTTCCTTATAAACTTTATGTTTTTAGTTTAGGAATTTCATAACAAAAATTCAAAATTTTAAAGGATTTTAACTTTATGTGCACTTTTGGCTTATCTCTAATTTTCTTCATATATATATTATATAAACTTTTTAAAATTAAAATAATAATTAATGTTTAAAATATTCATAAGCATAAACTGATTTTTCACAAGGCTTATAATGCATGCTGTTAAAAACTTCTCAATACCTAACAAATCATATAATTTAATTGCTTGAATCATTTACTAAATATGTGATCATATCAATTAAAGTGAATATATTTAATAAGATTTATTTAGACTTTTATATTAATCGCTCTAATCACTTAGGGAAATCAACCGATATTGAATTCAATGATTCCCGCCAATGTCGTCGTTGGGATGCGGCCATCAACAACGCCGCAACAGCAACAGAAAAATGTACAAGGCAATCCATTGGGGCGCGTGTTGATTAACGCGCCCCATATGGTAACAACAAGGCCACAAAATCCTGCGGTAAACATTCTTTTGTTTTTGTAACTATATAATATTTTAATATATAATTTTTAATATTGTAATGATGTAATAATACTTAATGGGTTACATATGTAAGACTAAAAGATTATTGCTAAATTTTGAATTTTATTTTCACGCAATTTTTTTTTTTTTAAAAATACATTTTTCTATTAAAGCAATGCTAATATAAGCTTTATGGTCAAAAACCTTATAAACACTTTTTTAATATATGTAAGTAACCCATTAATTTTATAATAACATGTATATTAATATTAATTACATATAATTAATTTCTTTTTGTTTTTTTTTGAAAAATATAAATATGCTTATATATAAATGATTTTGTAGATAACTTTAAGTACACTAAATCCCGGACAAACGCCTGCACTCATATTAAAAACTGAAAATGGATTTCAATTATTACGAGTAGGAACCGCCTCTGCCTCGGGTCCCGTGACACAAACAATTGGCACTAATTCCACAAATCCAACACAAATACGCTTGCAAACTGTGCCAGCTGCTGTAAGTAGAATCACAGGGCCATCTACAATAGCACTACGTAAAACGATTGTAAGATCATCCACTACCACCACAACCAACAATTCCACAACCACCCAGATTCATCAACAGAAACAGGCAATAACGACGAAACAGATTAAACAAAATGTAATTTTCAACTCAATTAATTTGTAATATACAAGCTTATCTTGTGTATTTTGCAAATTTTGAACAAAAAAAACCAATACTCAAGTACCAAATTTTTTTAATTCTTTTTACGCGTTCGTAATGATTGTTCTTATCTATACTATATATTTATATATACTTCTATATATATACTTATATGTATAATTTTTTAAATGTCTTTATTTACAACATATCAATCACTTTTAACTATCTATCAAGTATAAAATCTTTCGTGGGAACAAAATTTTTAACACTAAACATTTCGATATTTCAATTTAGAAATAATAATAATAATAAAACTTATCTAATTTATAATATATCAAAATCAAAATAGATATTTCCGTAATTTATGTTATAGAAAGATATATTAAAAAATATTATTTTCTATAATTCTAAGAATGATATTTGTCGTGAGTAGTTAGAATTACCATTTTTACCATGCAGTATAGATTTATTTAAACACTCTTAATTTATCGTAAAAAAAGAATTCAGTTTTGAAAAATTTGTAGTAAATATTGGGATTAATCATTTTGTATTCCAGAACTTTCATTTGATTAAAGTAATATTAGAGTTGTCTAATACTTTCTCTCATGAAGTTTACACTACACTCCATTTATATTGAACTATTTGTCATACAAACATATATAGTATATCTGTTTAGTTAGTCTAATATATTATATTATATATGTGAATCAAATAAGTTTAGATTATAGAAATCATCGCTGTTTAAATGAACGTTTTAATGATAAGCATTCATATACTAACATTTCATCAGTTTCACTTAAATGCTTTACTTATTCATATGATTCATCATGGTAATTACTTAAAAATATATATATAAAGATATATTTATAATATTCATTTAAATATTTGTTTTGATATTAATGAACATTACCATTTGATATAATTCATTTCTAATAAAATTCTGCATTTATACTCCCAAGATATTTGAAAGTATTTCATTAACATTTTCACTAATATACACAAATTTTTATTGACAGATCAAATTCGAATATGATTCGTATTTGCATTCGAAAATAAATATCATGGCAAAGTATAGCTTGTATAAACACCGATTGTGTAGTCAAGCAATCGATTGGTAAATTTCATTTGTGATAATAAATTAATATTAGTGTCTCAAACATTATTTAATTTTTTCGAATCTTCAAGCATTTTGATGTTCGAATATGATTGTGCTTGGCAATGTTCGAACAAGACAACATACATAAGCATTTACTGTTATACAGCTCAAACATTTTTGAACATTTAAGGTGTTCTCAAACCAAAATATTTGAATTCGAGTATATTTAAAACATTTCTAATGTGTTAAAATTCATGATCAGTATATTTATATTAAAATTACTCAAGTGATTTATTTCTTGAGATAGCTAAAACAAAGTAATATATTTATATATTTGTTTCAATACACTATCCAACCTTATTGTTTTTTAATAATACCAATAATTTCTTTAGATGAAAAAATGCCAACCGCAAACATCTTAAAAGACTCCATTAAGAGGGTAATTCTAATATCTCTATATTTTTATAGTTTCCGTTCATATATGAGCTCAAAATGGGAACTTTTTTCCTTCCACTGGAGCACACCAAATGGAGTCAAGAAATGAATCCTGAATCTTTTTCAATTCATCTGCAATTGATTTGAAGATTCCGTTCTGCAAGTATCAGTGAGGCAACATAATAAATTGTTTGAATAAACAAATCCTTTCTGTACTCAAGAAAGCTCACTTGAGCTCAAATAATGGCCCATAGTGGTACCACAGGAAAAGCGTTGGTACGTACATAGACTGATCGATTAGGTAAAGGTAAACTAATCTGACAGTTCTATAAATTTGGCTAAGTCCCTAATATTACAGGATGACAGCTCGGTCAGGTCGGTAAACTAAAGAAGTGCACTGACACATGAGATGGAGCATAGTCTCTTCATCCTCAGAACCACTGCCGCGAGATAAGTCATTATAGGGTAGATCTAGTCTCATGGCATACTTTCCTATTCCACAGGGGCACAAATACCGTGATGCTGAGTATATTCCGCCTTTGTTGAAGTAGCTGACTAGCGGGTTTTTTTTGTCCACATTAGACCAAGCCAACCTAGATATCTGACAATAGAATTCGTCAGCCCAGTATTGCTTGGCTATGCTCAGGTATTTTTGTTTGATTGTCAGTTTAACTGTAGCAAGTGGAACGCCTATGTATGAGATGTAAATGCCATGAATAAGAGTGGCTGCTTTGGCAAGATAGTCTTTTCACGAGCGTATGCGTTTACGTTATGCGTACAACATATATATTTCAGTAAATTATAATTAACAATAAATGAGATAATGTTATGTTGCATATAACTTATTAGGTTAACATGTGTATATGTATGCTTATGTATTTATAAAAAAATTCATTTGAAACAAAATATGTGCTTGCTTATATTCTCACCCATCTTAAAATGTTCTAAAGCGTACCTTAGAAATTCACATAATCATGTTTTGATAAAATATTTAATTATAATTTATATTTATAACTTAGAACAAAATTAATAATTCCCTGAATTATATTATTCAATCACATAATATCGAATGGACAACAGTTTTCTTATTAATTTAATATTTAGTTACTTTTTTTCCATAAGAAAACCTGTAATTTTTTTTTATTCTCTGAAAAACATGACTCCTCAACAGTTTCCATCAACGTTTCAGAATTATAATTTTAATTATATAAGAAATATCTATAAATTTTTTAAATACTGTATTTGAAGATTAGTATATATATGCATAGATTAGTACAGTATAGTATATACTATATATAATATAT